TATTACTCCGGGGTCTAACTTTTCCTTCTGGTAATCATGTATGAGTCACCAACTCATTTCTCGAAATGGGGACATGACTTTTTGGCTTATACTCTTTTATTGTCTCAAGTCATGTAACTTCTTGTCTTTTCCTTCACTTGACTATAGAATTTGTAGTCCTGTCACATTTTGATTTACCGTTATCATCCATTAATCACATTTTACTCTTAATGCTTCATTTACTTTCTTCTTATTGTCCTACTAATATTTCTGTCTATCACCTTATTATGAAAACTTCTTCAAAACATTCTTTCACTTTTAGCCCCCCTTGATTCAACTCACTGGCTCTTCGGTTCGCCTAACACTCTTTCTTTACTAGGGACGAGAGCCATACAAAGGTAAATATTTATCCTTTCTAGGATTTCAATGCCAATCTTCTGAAATTTCTCAACATTCTAGTATTCATATCTGATTGTACTATTCTAGAGTGCACCATCTGGGTGCCTTACAAGGAGAAACATTATCACATTTGCAATATCCCTCGAAAATGTGAGCTAATGATAACAATCCATCCACAATTTTGGGTTACTCTAACCCCAGCTGGATGATGATATCCCATCCTTCTCTTAAATTATATATGTTAGCTCCCATAGGGCATAACTAAAATGGGTGTTGTCAAGTGAATATATCTTTGTGATTGTTGAAAGTAACCCAGAATGCTTATATTTCTCTGCCAGAATTGTAAATACAAATAATCTTCACTAACGCGGTACCTCGTATCCTTCTTCACCTAGCTTCTTTTACTTGTTAAAACTTGTATCTACCTTCTGATTCTCTCGTTGATTTTTACCATAGGGGTAGATAAATATTCATACCTTAGGGCTCCTTATCAAGAAGCTCACACGTCGTATTACACATATAATCTACTGAAGGCCTAACATTTACTCATCATAAGCATGACGCAAAATCGAGTTTCTCTGACTCAACTCTTCCACAACCACATTCAATCTCTTACCAACTGTCTTTCTGGATGTAGATATCATTGTATAACGAATAAAATAGAACTTAGGAGTTTGAATTTCTTACAACTGAGCTCTACCACACGATTTAGAGTAAGAAGAAAGAGTGACAGTCCTAAATGCCTTGTAGCCTCCTGCTTATAAGTGTGGTGCACAACACACCCATAAATAAGACTCTACTAGACACGGCTTGTAGACTCCCTAGGACAGAACTGCTCTGATACCACTTTTGTCACGACCCAAACCATGGACCGCGACGGCCACCCGGTACCTTACTCAACCGAGTACCAATGTAATATATCTTTCGTATCATACTATCATAGATAACTGAGCCGGAGAGGTTGTCGTGAGATAAGTAGAATAAAATATTAGGAAATACTCAATATAGGGTGACGCAACTTGATATACTGACTTATACATATGACGTACTGGCCTATAAGTCCATACCAGTATCCGTGTATATGAAATTTATCTACAAGCCTCTAAGAGTACATAAATATCATAAAGGTCGGGACAGAGCCCCGCCATACCAAACAATACATATTCAAATCATACTGACCAAATAGGCAACTTCGGAGCAAGTGGAGTGCACAAATACCTTCTGCTGAGCTGATAGCCTACTAGGAGAACTCTCAACTTGTCTCTCGGGACCTGCGGCATAAAATGCAGCGTCCCCAGGCAAAAGAGATGTCAGTACAAATAATGTACCGAGTATGTAAGGAATGAAAATCATTAAATAATAGACATGAGAGAAACATGGAGTAAAAGACTCAACATGTAAGTCTGAATAGCTCTGTGAATCATTTAATATTATAATGGCATACATATACGTATAATTGTCATACCATGCATAGGTATATGCGTTCATAACATTATCAAGCCTCTGAGGGCATCCTATCATATCATCTCGGCCACTGTGGGCAAATCATCAATGTATACCAGTTGATCAGATGGTGGTGTGTATATAACGCCGTAACCTTTTTTCATATCCCATATACATATAATATACGCGTATATAACGCCATCTGGTCATGGGTCAATGTACATGTATAAATGCATAAGAAATATGTTAATAAGATTTCTCGAATATCATAAAATCAATATGCCTTTCGGACAAACTTTATCAAATATGTATTTTTTTTGAGACCCATGAATAGAGGATATAATAATAATTCACATAGGGAATCAAGAATATAGACACCCCTAGTATTTCTATGAATAGAGTCATTTTTAAAAGTTGCGTATTTTGCTCGTTTCGTTTGTATCATTTGGATCATGCCAAAAAGAAAGTAGGGATAGCCTTAACATACCTGGACTGATCCTCTTGACGATCCCTCTAACACATGTCTTTTGCGAAAACACGTACCGTACTCTCTTAGAATTGCAAATCCCGTTGCTATTAAATTACGTAGTCTCGTATGAATTTTGTTGAAGCAATTTGCCATAGCAGATCCGTATGGTATCTTTCTCAAATGAATTTCATCAAAATCTTTCATGACCTTTGTTGAAGTGAATTATGTTGCCAAGATGCTTAAGGAATTTTTGCTTGAATTCTAGAACTCTTGCTTGAATTCTTGCTTGAATTCTTGTTGAAGCAGAATATTACTAAGGTGCCTATTTTTAATATAAGCACTCACGTTGCTAATGAAGTTCACCTTGCTGAAGTCTTTCACATAGATGTAATACATCTTTAGTTTGAATTTAAAGATGGATTTTAAGTCTTGGTGGTGTGGGCCCCACCTTTCAAGACTTGGTGTCACATATCTTCTTTAAAATGTGCCACCTTTCTACTTATTTCAAGAGTCATTATATGGCATAGTGGGTTGCCACGCTTGGGAGCTCAATCAAAATTATCTCTTAGACAAAGTGAATTAGAGATGTATTAAATCCTTAGGTATGGACCCCACTTTGATTTTACTTGAAGCTTTTTCTTAAGAGATGAACAATTGATAACGTTGATACTGCAAAGTTTAAACTTGATGAAGCTTTCCATTATTACCTTGTAGACAAAGTGAATTAGAGAAGTAATAAATCCTTAGGTGTGGACCCCACTTTGATAAGATGACTAAGCCAAGAACTCCTCCAAAATTTGCCACATTGTCTTGTGAGTTAAAGACTCATTATCATGGCCTCTTTGGCCAGCCATGTTGTGGGGGAGGGTGTTTAAATTTATCAAGTTTATCCAAAATAATTCACCCCTTTCCTTAATTAGTTTATTAATCTCTCACTAATTCAATAATTAACCAATTATCCATATAATTAAGAATTATCTCAAATTATTTAAAATATTACTTATTTTTAGCACACCTTATACACCTCACTATTATGGTCATGTGGTACCTTGTATGACACTAGTCCATAATTATCGGGTATTATTGCTTGGACCGTATTTTGTCCCAAAATGTCAAATTTTGACGAAATTTATTTTCTTTGATTTGCTTTCTCTCTCACCTTCACTAATTTACTCATCACTTGTTTGAAATAGCGTAATACTTATAATCCCAAAATAATCTCATTCCCGAACTACGTCGATTAACTTACGACGAAACTTTAACGTACGAAAATGCGGGATGTAACATCTCATTTCCGAGCTTCCATCAATTTATTTATGGCGTACTTTCACGTACGAAAACATGGGGTGTAACACAAACATCTCCGACAATTATGGAATATGAAAGTATCATCATAAAATAACATACGCCAAATGTAATTGAAGTAGGCCAAGTTTACCAAGACAAGCAAACAATTGTCAGTACAATGAAGCACTATTCTGTCATGAATAAGTTTCAATTTATGGTGAAAAGGTCTAGTGCAAGAAGGTAGGAGCATTTTATTTGTCAAATTCGTATTGTGTATAAGTTGTAGTTTCTTTTTATATAAATTGTTTAAAATAAGTTGTTGTGCATAAACAACCTCATATTCTGTAGCTACAATTTGCATAATATTTTTTGAATTATTTTTATTCTGTAGCTACTGCCTCGTATGTTTTGGGGGACAATTGTATGTGTCACTTCAAGTCCACCAGCATAAATGAATCAGCATTGTTCAAGATTCGAAAATTCAACAGCTTGCACACATGCTCTTTGATGGACAACACATATATACAACGCAAACCTACTGGCATGGTAGTTGGCAGTATGGTGATGCCAAAATACGCGGATCCTAAGATAATATACACACCAAAAGACATAAAACTGATATGTTGTCGGATCATGGTGTGAACTTAACATACATGCAAGCTTGGAGAGTAAAGGAAAAGGCTTTAGAATTTTTGAGAGGTCATCCTGCTGATTTCTATAGTCGCTTGCCGAGTTATTTGTATATTCTGGAGAAGACTTATCCGGGGTCGGTAGTGAAATTGTAGAAGATTGAAGATGATTGTTTCTTGTATGCATTTGTTACACTTTGTACGTCCATCAAGGGTTGGGAGCATTGTAGGCTAGTTGTAGTAGTCGATGGCACCTTTTTAAAGTGGGCATATATGGGAATGTAGCACAACGGATGCAGCAGGTAATGTAGATTAATTGTAAAACAATTATTATAAAGTTGTTTTTGAGACTGTATTTTTATATTTTCAAGTTTATTACTGAAATTGAATTTCTTTTTGCTACCTATGTGATAGGTAGCATATTTCATAGGTAGCATATTACCACAAGCATACGCTGTTGTTGATTCAGAAAATAACGCATCATGGAGGTGGTTTTTTGAGCAATTCAAACTTGCATATGGTGAAAAACCAAATATGTGCGTTGTTTTAGACCGAAATGAGAGTATATTGAAGGCAACATCTACTGTTTATACCGGCATGCCACATTATGCTTGCATGTGGCATATTTGGACAAATGTAAGGTCAAGGTTCAAGAAAGGTCATTTAAAGTTAAGTGAATTGAACTTTGCCACGGCACAATCATACATGCTTGATGAATTTAATGAAATAATGTCAAAGATTGAAGAGATCGACACACGTGTTAAAGCATACCTATACGATATTGGCTATCATAGATGGTCTCGGGTACATGCTACGGTGAACAGAACATGGACGATGATATCAAATATTGCAGAGTCCTTGATGCGGTAACCAAAGATGCAAGAGAGCTGCCCGTAGTAGAACTATTAGAGTACATGAGGACTTTTATTGAACATTGGACTAATGAAAAGTTATTGAATGCAAAGGGAACGTTCACATACATTGGAAAAAAATACAACAAAGAGTTGGAGGACAACAAGACATTATCGCAGAAGATGAGAGTAAGTTATGGCCAATAGCATCAGATCATTTATTTCATCAAACTAAATATATACTGATAATTGTAGAAATATTGTTGGATAATTATAGTTATTTTATTTTGTATCTATTGCTGACAACTTGTTATGTGTTTGTAATGAAATTGTAGGTGAGGGCTTCAACAGATTACATCCATACTATGATAGATGGTGTGAAGCGCTTCATTGTTTGTCTTCAAAACAAGAGATGTAGTTGTGGACAATTCCAGCTTGATGAACTTCCATGTCCACATGATTTGGCGGCTTTGAGGCACAGGAACAAGTCTTATGAAAACTATTGTTCTCCTTATTACACGAGGGAGAGCTTTCTGCAGACTTATGAAATACCAGTAGATCCGCTGCCTGATGAAAGCAAATGGAATGTGCCACAACATATAGCTGAGGAAGTTGTAATGCCACCTACTGGGAAACTCCAGCCAGCGAGACCTCAAAAACAGAGATACAAACCATATGATGAAGCAAATACAAAGAAGTACAAGGTTTCAAGTGGAAACTGCGGACTAGAAGAGCATAACAAAAGATCTTGTAGGAATGCTCCCAAAAGGAAATAAAAATTGATATAGTTTAAAGAATTATTTTTTACCGAGTACTGTTGATAATAATCTGTCCTTTAAGACATATTAAGTTGTATTTGTTCTGTTTTGGAGAATTATAATTGTGTTGCTAATTTGAATAAAGATTTTCTCCTATAATGAATATTTGCTAAACAGATTTCAACTCTTAATGCAATTGGTTTTGTAGTTGTTTTGTTCAAATACCGAGTTTATTTATTACTTTTCAGCCTTTCCTAACAATACTGCTAAAATTGAATAGATTATGTATTTTTGTATAGTAGTTGTAGACATAGTTGTAGTTATGCGGTAAAGAAATTATATAGTACCAATATCGAGATCAAGTACTAATAACTTTCAACCAAAAAAATGCCACAAATGTTTTCTATTCTAAGTAGTAGAATTCTGGATAAAATAACAAAACAAAAGGTAAAACAACTATAGCACAAATCTTCTACAAATAAATTGTAGCTGACTTGTTCTCAATAAACAATTTTGCTACAACTTTACTACAATCCAGATACAACTAAATACTTTAACTATAATTTTTCTACTGAAAAAGGCAACTAATTCTTTTTGTTGCGGACTCGTGTTCTCTCCTTCACAGCTGGTGCACATTTTCTTCTTGCTAATCTGCCAGTCACCTCACTTTCACTGATTGCACCAAGCTCTTGCTTTTTTCTAGCATAATCCCAAAGGAGCGCTCCATAACGTCTACGGTGTTGATCAATATTAGAAAGGTCTTCCTTTGAAATCGTTAGCTCTCTAATACTGACATATTCTGCAAATGCAGCCACGTATACACCACAATCACTGCAAAAAATAACAGGGGAAAAGATTTAGCATTCAATGTACAATACAATTGGTTAAATAGAAGGAAAAGCGGCACACACAGTGATCCCACTTTTTGCTGAATTTCAAGAGGGTCAGTAACACCTTTTTCAATATATGCATTTGTGTTCTTGTAGTTGATGTCTGGACGCTTGTCATAGAAGCTGGTGCATGACAAGTAGAGGGGGATCATAATAGCAAACTTGTTGACAATAGATTCAACAAGTTTGTGATTTCGTGAAGAGATCATAGAATCATAAACATAGAGAACCATATCGGTAATGTCAAACACAACCAACAACCAATGAAATTTCTCCACAATGTTTACGGGCATAATCACAAAATCAACTTTGTCCCATGTAACATTTGCAAGTAATCGGTATCCCAATATGTATTGTGATACGACGTCCTGGGGTTTGACAACAGCAAGCTTCCTATCGGCAGGAGCATTAACGTACCTCTCATAAATTTGTTCAGTTCTAGTCTTGAAGATACAGTCAGTGGTTGTAAACCGTATTTTGTTTTCAAGACCATACTTTTCTCTCTTCCTCAAATAGTATAAAATAACATCAATGTGCTGCACAAAAAAACAGATTTCAATATTTCTCTATTCTGAATACAATTTAACTACAATTTTCAAACAAATAATCTATAGATATCTAAAATAATAGAATACTACAGCCAATCATTAAATTTTGTCAGGCTATGTGTGTATCGTGTTGTTGAGAATTGGCCCGGAATGTGCTAAAGTATAAAACCAATCCTTTTTATTAACTTTCTCCACTCCAAGATCAAACCACAGGTTGAGCTGGTTATCTTTTAAAGTATAAGGCGCCTTCTTCCTATTTAAAAACATAGCACGTACAATTATTATGTAGTTTCAATTGAAAATCCATAAATTGTATGCACTTGATAATATGAAAAAACTATATAATCTAAACTCTTTGAAACCGTTTCGGTACCTAAATATAACCACTTACTGAATTCTTCCAACAAGTCAGGATCAACATCATCGCCAATAACCCCAGTAAATGTGTCACGACCCAATTTTCCCTCCATTGGGTATCGTGATGGCACCTAGTCTTAGGGACTAGGTAAACCTAACATTTTTTGAATAACAACAATAATTAAATAACATCTAACAAATCTTGAAATAGAAATCTCTATAAACTTTATAATTCCCAAAACCGGTAGTACAAGTCATAAGCTCTACAGAGTTTGCTACAATATACTAAATACAACTGTTTGAAATAAAGCAAACAGTGTGAATACAAATCAGAAGGTGACTCTAAAGCTTGCGAACGCAGTAACAGGTTTACCTTGAGTCTCCACAGCAATAGTCAGCCCAACTAGTTAATGATCAACTGACTTCGAAATACCTCGATCTGCACAAAAATGTGCAGAAGTGTAGTATGAGTACACCACGGCGGTACCCAACAAGTATCAAGACTAACCTCAATGGAGTAGTGATGAGGAACAGTCAAGATACCTACTGGACTAAATAACCTGAATAAGTATAAGTATAGAATTAACAGAGTATGATATCCACATAAAGACTACGCGAAGTGGAAATTAAGACGGTAATTGCAATAGGGAAGGAGAACAACAACTATCAGCGGAACACCATAATAATGACATAGAAGAATGACCGGAAACATAACCTAAGTCCGATAATCACAGATAAAGAAAGGACAAATAACAACTCAACAATACGACAACTTTCACACTAGGTTTTAGTCAATAAACTCCACGAGGTACCGAACCTCATACTATTCATAACTCACGGGTTTCCAATACCTGAACCCTAACACTTGGCATCCTGTGCCCTTATTACACTTCATAACTGCACTGACGACTAACGTGCCAAATAGAGCCATTCTCACACAGAAGGCAAGTAAACAAGGGTGTTCATATATACTCAACAATATCAAGAAAAATTATTAACCGATAAGAGTGCTCAACTACGTGTATGCTTGTGCAAGTGTCCTAACATAGTTCATGCCAGCTAGTAAGTACAGGAAAAGAAATGGACAGCATGTAGAATGTTTTCACACAACTTTCCACAAGATAAAGCTCACACAGGTAAGTGTACCACTACACAAGTATAAAAAACAAGAATGCCCCTAGGCCATCACAAGTCAACACAAATCAATCCTGACACAGCCCACCTTGTCTCACCACGTGTGCAATAGTAAAATAAATGTCCANACCTCGTGCATCACAATAACAACAACCGCACGGCAGAAACCTCGTGCATCACAACAACAACTACGACAGCAATAATGATAATAATACAAGGGTACGACAAATAAGTCAACTCAGAGATTCCAGAACTCAAAGAAACAGAGGAACTAATTCACAAGGATTAGCCACAATCGGGAATGCGAGTCATAATAAGAACAGCTCAACAAGAAAGGAAATACTATGTAACAACGGTCCACAATATATAGTTCGACAACGAGTGAATCATGAAGCAACTAATTCTAATTAAGCAGGTAGAGGTGAAACTAGTAATTGAAGAAGCGTAATCATAACAAGAACAACTGCATATTCAGTGAATACAAGGGCCTAAGAACCCTAAAAGGCCAATTTTCTACAAATAAGCCCGAGATGGCTCAAATCTAATCAAAATAACTTCAAAGCACAAATAAAACTCATAAGAATCTATTCCGGATCATAAAGCTTCAATGTTTATCAAAATCTAAAAATCGACCCAAAAGTTGACCTCCGGGCCCGCACCTCGGAACCCAACAAATTTCACAAAAACCCGAATACCCATTCCGATACGAGTTCAACCATACTGAATTTATCATATTCCGATACCATTTCGTCCCTGAAATCATGATTTTTTATTTTGAAAGTTTTCTTGAAAAATCCCCATTTTACTCAACTCAAAACACAAATTAAATGATAAAAATAAAGGTAAAATCATGGAATATAATAAATTCTAGGTGAAGAACACTTACTCAATTGATTTGCTTGAAAAACCCACAAAGAATCGCTCAAACCCGAGCTCTAGAACTCCAAAAATGTTAAAAATGGCTAACCCTCATAATAGAGAACTTTATATTCTACCCAGGTATTTGTACATCGCGATCGCGGAACAAATAGTGTGATCGCGAAGAAGAAAAATAGCAACTTCCGAAATGAATTACGAGATCGCGTAAGGAACAGTGCGATCGCGAAGAGGGAAAAATGTTAGGGCCAGGTACTGCACTACGCGACTGTGTGAGTGCGCATGAGATCGCGAAAGGGGAAGGGAGAAAATCACTAGCTGTTACAGTTGAGCTATGCGAACGCGGGCAATGAAGTGCGAACACGGAGAAGGCAGAAGCACATGTACGCGATCGCGAACTGGACTACGAAAACGCAAAGAAGGAATGGTTGGCCCACCAAACAAGCCTTTGCGATCGCGGCTTCAGCTACGCGATCGCATAGAAGGGGACACCAGATATCAACACAACTATACCAAACAATGAGAAAATGGCCCATAGCCTATCCGAAATACACCCGAGGCCCCCGGGACCCCGTCTAAACATACCAATAGGTTCCATAACCTAACAAGAACTTGCTCGAGGTCTCAAATCACATCAAACAATGTCAAAACTATGAATCGCACCAAGAATTGAACTTATGAACTTTCAAATCTTCCAACTTCTAAAACTCGTGCCAAAACCTATCAAATCAACCCGGAATAACGTCAAATTTTGCAAGCACGTCCCAAATAGTATAACAGAATTGTTCCAACTCTCGGAATCGCATTCCGACCCCGATATCAAAAAGTCCACTTTCGGTCAAAATCTCTGAAAATTCGACGTTCACCATTTCAAGCCTAAATCAGCTACAGACCTCAAATTCACCGTCCGGACACGCTCCTAAGTCCAAAATCACCCAACGGAGCTAACGGAACCGACGAAACTCCATTCTGGAGTCGTCTTCACATAGTTCCGACTACAGTCAAAATTCTAAGGCTTAAGCTTCCGTTTTAGGGACTAAGTATCCCAAATAACTCCGAATTATCCGGTAACTGAATTCAACCACGCACGCAAGTCAATACACATAATACAAAGCTGCTCAGGGCCTTATGCTGCCAAACGGGACTTAAATTCTCAAAACGATCGGCTGGGTTGTTATATCCTTCCCCTCTTAAATAAATGTTCGTCCTCGAACGTGCCAAGAATCGCCTCAAAGTCTTCAAATCACTGAAAGCACATATCCAACATACACCCGCGGGTGACCCCACGTCACCCCAATCCACATAATCCTGATGACACCATCTCAACTGTATATTATCCTTTCTACCAACACATATAAGCCTTAGAGCCAAAATTCTCACCTTCCGTTCATCTCCAATAGGCCCGATTCTAAATCCATACCTGGTATCAGTCTCAACCAGCTACAACAACTCATGCCTACACCCACAAGGTACGA